CGTCAGAGGGATCTTGGCTGAAAGCAAAGAATACCAGAAAGATGTTTACCTGTGCTTTATTGTATGTGCAAAGGCTTTCAACTGTATGGATGACAAGCTATGGACATGAATGGGTATTCCTGAATAAGTAATTATGCTCATGAGGAACCTGTACATAGACCAAGAGGCAGTTGTTCGAACAGAACAAGGGGACACTGAATAGTTTAAAATCAGGAAAGATATGCACCAGATTATATTCTTACTCAATCTGTATGCTGAGCAAATAAATCTGAGAAACTGGATTATATGAAGAAGAATGTGGCTTCAGGATTGAAGGAAGACTCATTAACAATCTTAGATGTGCAGATGATACAATTTTGTATGCTGAAAGAGGAAAGGGGTTAAATACTTACTGATGAGGATCCAAGACCATGGTCTTTCAGTATGGGTTGCACCTCATTGTAAAGAGAACAAAAATCCTCACCACTGGACCAATAAATAACATCATGATTAATGGAAAAAAGACTGAAATTGTCAAAGATTTCATTTTGCTTGGATCCACCACCAACTCTCATGAACACAGCAGTCAAGAAATCAAACAATGTACTGCATTAGGCAAATCTGTGGCACAAGACCTCTTTAAAGTGTTTAAGATCAAAGATGTCAGTTTGAGGACTAAAGTACACCTGACCCAAGCCATGGTATTTTCATTACTCTCATATGCATGTGAAAGTTGGATAAGGAATAAGGAAGACTGCAGAAGAATTGATGCTATTGGAATGATGATGATGATATTGGAAAAGAATATTGGAAGTACTATGGACTGCCAGAAGAACAAACCAATCTGTGTTGGAAGAAGTACAACCAGAATGTTCCTTAGAAGTCAAGGTAACCAGACTTCCTCTTCCATACTTCAGACATATTTTAAGTTTGTCGTACTGTGGTGGCTTGTGAGTTGCTGTAATTCTGAAAGCTATGCCACCGGTATTTTAAATATCATCAGAGTCACCCATGGTGGACAGGTTTCAGATGAGCTTCCGGATGAAGACAGACTAGGCAGAAAGAGTGACAAACTACTTCGGAAGAATATTTAGTCACTGAAAACTTTATGAATAGCAGAGAAACACTGTCAGATATAGTGCACTCAAAATGCGACTGGTGAAGAGCTGCCGCCTCAAACTAGAGTTGACCGTGATGATGCGAATGGAATAAAGCCCGGGGCAGAAAAGCCAGACCTTCATTTGCTGATGGATCAAAACTCAAAATGAAGAGAAACAGCTGTAAACATCCATTGACAATTGGAACATGGAATGTACGAAGTATGAATCTTGAAAAATTGGAAGTTGTCGAAAATGAAATGGAACGCATAAACATCGATATCTTAGGCATTAGTGAGCTGAAATGGA